ACCTGTTCCATATATACACCTGTTCCATCTGTACACCTGTTCCATCTCAGAAGAGCCCTCTGCTCCCTGTCCTGCACCTCTGGTAAACAACCGGAGAGAAATATCAAAAGTTCACTGGACCGTAAGCTCACAGTTCATGTTATGCTCTGCAGAGATGAACCTTGGTTACCTACTGTAACCCCAGATTCTATGAGTATAGGCACAGCCGTTTAAGAGCTGACATTATTGGGTTCACCCCACATGCAGCGCGCCAACACTGAAAGAACTATAGTCCATGCACCCACCTGTTGTGAGGGTCCCACCTAAATTGTCTTGGGACTGTAGATCTGCTCCCAAATAGCATACTTTTTTTTTTTGCCACGTAGGTGCCAGTAAGGCCCGGGTCTTAAAGGGCTACACCTATACTATAGTTTGATGTGGCAACCCAATTTCTGACAATGACCTTTTTTCGCCTACATGCAGCCATGCACTACAATGGAAGTTGGTACCTCGTTTATTTTTCAAGTTATCATGCTGACATCATGCATGGATGGACAGATGGATGGACAGAGTGTAATTTCAATTCCTCCTCTTCGTTCTGCGATGGTGTATAAAAATGCAACTATAATCTCTTGTAATTGCTTTTAGGCTCCCATGTTCTGGCTCTTTAGATGAGTTCTAGTTGTGAATAAAGCAAACTAATATAGAATTTTTAATATTGTCTTTAATGACCCAGACAGCAAGCCACTTCAATGTAAAGAATTATGAAGGAAGTGAGTGTTATGTAACATTGTTGTGGACACTTACCTCTGTCCCTGGCTCCTGCACATGGCAAGACTCGCTGTCTCCCTCTGAGAAGGAGCATGATTCGTCACTTGAGTTGGTGCCGTAGGACTGCTCACATTTAATCTTGGGTCGCACCTGGCTGAACAGGGACTCCCCTCCCACACTTTGCTCCTGCTGGTCTACGTTGACACACCGTGCCATGTTGGAGCATGGCGAAGAGGAGAATTCAAACTGGGGCAGGCTGCAAGGGGAGCCTCCACTGCCATCCTCTGCATAGGAGTAGGAGGAGCAGGAGCTGGAAGTCCTGGTACGTGTATCACAAGGTGGTGAGCGGGGGCACACTTTGATTGGCACTGGGCAGCTGGTGTTGGGCCGTGGACGGCACAAGATTGGGGGCTCAGATGAAATGGTGCTGGGAGAGAAGGTCTGGGAGTTGGGGAGAGACTGGCTAGCTCCGGCCCACAGGCCTTTTGACACTTGCTCAGAAAGTTCCATCTCCAAGGAGTTTCCTCCGGGGAAAGAATGCACCGGTGTTCCGGTACGGTTGCAGGCCCCTGAAGAAAATATGACGCTACGGCGATCCAGCTCAACTTCCTGTTTGCAGACCCCATCACAGGAAACAGGCTTGAGAGACAATCCTGAAGGCAATCCATCAAGCTCCTCTGGGGATGTTACAGGCAGGTCCAGCTCCCCAGTGAAAGGCTGTAAATCTTTTTGAAGATCTCCCTGAGTGTTTCCTTTGTCCTGGGGGCAAACAAGTCTGTTTGTGATTAGCTGCTGTGAAGTGCTGGACAGGCTGGGCAGATCCACCCCTTTCTTGAAAAAAGATCGGAGGCAGGACGGGGACTTGGTTCTCTTGGAGTTTTCCAAACAGACAGGGTTATCCATTTCCATAGCTGTCACACTGTCCATATCCCCGTCATCCTGCTCAACCCCTGACAGGCACAATGAAACTGTCTCTTCCTTTCCCCGTGGTTCCACTTTGATCTGTGCCACAGACAGCCTGTCCTGGCCTGGTGCGCCCCCGCTAACGCTGCTCTCCTTAAATGTGCTTGAAAAACCTGAGGTACTGGTGTGTGAGGAGATGTCATTGTGCTTGTTGCAAGCCAATTGATACTTCCTGTACTTGGGGCATCGCGGCAGGTCCGATGCACCGTGCCGATCAAAGCTCAGCTGGCCGTCTGTGAAGTTATTGGACATCGTCACCGCTCGCCTGTCATCATCATCGTCATCATCATCAGGGTGTTGGAAGGAGGTGAGGGTGTCTGCACAATGCTGTGCCATGGGGGAAGTGGGCCTTTCCGTCTCTGACTGCATGCATTCATCTTTTGAGTTGATTGCCTCTGCTGCCTCCTTGTGGCAAAATAACAAGCTGTCTTCTTCTCTGCGGAGCTGAGCCTCCAGAAAACGAAAGCACGAGTCTTCAAGGTTGTGCATGCGCAAGAATTCAGCGCAGCGAATGACCTCCTGGATGTTTTCCCTGCTGAGCAACAGCTTAGCAGTGTAGGCAAACTGCAACAAGGGGGCGAATCCCCTCGCAGTGACCTGAAATAACAACAAACAAACAAATAAACACAAAAAACAAACAGGGAAATTGTCATTTCAAGGGATTTTAAACAACTGCTAAGTTCATGGCAAAAAGCAATTCAGACATGTTGCTGTTTTTAGCATTTTACATCGCTTTATAATCTAGCTGTTTTTTGTGTAATTTTTAAATATAATTTCTTCTATGTATCCTGATGAATGCTCAATAATCCAGGTAGAAAAATCTAAAAAAGTTAAATCTGGTCCTCTGGACATTCAAAAAAAAACCAAACAAACAAACAAACAAAAAAAAGCAAATATTTAACTTTTTTAGATTCTTCTATGTACTTTTCATTTCATATGTTTTTTATATGATTGTCTATTGCTGTCTGTACCTCATCTGTGCTTTTTGTTTAAAACATGTCTCTATGTAAATGAGTCCTCGTGACTCAAGACTAAACTGTATAAATAAAGGTTGAATGAATGAATGAATATCGGTATTAATGCTAGAGAAAATTTCCATGTCAACCAGGCTCTACTTATATAAAAAAATACAGCTGGCTACGGTGGTTCTGATGAGCCCACAGTTCGCTGGTTCTTCTGTTGGGGTAAAAGAGCTAAATGAGCCAAGTATCTACAGTGTTCGCACCGGCCCAGGCTCCAGAGGTCAGATCCTCTGAGCTGCTTCACTGTTTAAACACGACAGTAGAATAACGATGAACATGAATGACTTTCAACAATTACTACACCTAATTCAGCTCAATATCTGTAAACCTGACTGAAACATAAACTACAACGTCACTCTTTCAGGGATGAATCACATCCTGGACAGAGAGGAACGATGGTTTGAGAGAGGAGTAAAGGAGGCCATCTTTGTGAAAAGAAATCGTCCATCATTAAACAGGGGTGGAGGCCTCCGGGTTCAACTGTCCCCCTCTTACAATGCTGTGATTGCTAGTATCACTCAGCTTCCTGTGAATAGTAAACAGCCATCAGTGTGCTAATGATCCATTGTTAGGCTGATGGTCCTTCTTGATCATGTGAGCAGCTGGTTTGGTTGTCAGCAGCAAAACTGGTTGATCCACTCTGAGAAGGTGCTATTTATAAGACTGAGCTGAATACAGCACCTCAGACGGAGGAAGTCTTTCGGATGAAAGACAAAACGTTTCTACATTGTTTTTGTTTTGCTTTGTTTTGTTTTTTGAATGTCCAGAGGACCAGACTTAACTTTTAGATTTTTCTACCTGGATTATTGAGCATGCATCAGGATATAAACTACAACGATTCTCATTTAAAGCACGTAAAGCCCTCGGGCCTACAGCATCAGACACAGGCAGGAAGAATGTGTGAGAATGCTGACGGTGACGGTGAGGCGGATTAGAGGAGGGTGGCTGGCTGCTCCGCTGCACCCAGGGCTGCTGAGAAACAGCAGAGCTGTTTTCAGCTGGTATCAGCAGCTGCTGCCAGTGGGAGCACATCTTTATGTGTCCCCCGCACCACGTGTGATCACTCCACTGATACAAGCAGCACAGTCTAATAAAGGAGAGAGGTACCAGATGGAGGAGGGAGGAGGGAAAACTCTGAGAGACACTGAGAGGGGATGGATGGATGGAGGAAAATGAAAGTGTTGAGGTTGAACTATTAAACCAGAATTATGGAAGGTGGGAGTACACAGAGTATATCCATCGCATTAGACTGCTGAAAACATTCAGGTTTCGATTCTCTACAAATGTGACGTTCCACATGCAAGTTAATGAGAAAAAACACTTTGGGTTTGTTCCGTATATTCAGCTGACCGTGTCCACACAGTCAGGACAATCCATCCATCCATTTATTTTATTAGAGTGAATTGGACTCTTTTTGACATTTTGATCTCTGTTATTTTGACAAATTAGCGCCGTTGTTTTGATATGCGATTAATGTGAATAATACACATCAACCATTTCTCTTGTTGTATTTTTTTATTGTAGCTAAGCTTTTTTATTTTTTATGTCTGAAACGTATGCGTGAGTTCACATCAGCAGTTGTGCGTGCTCAGAGCTGTCTGGAAATGCTCCTGTGTGTAAAGTATGCGGTGTTTCCCCTACCATTATACAAGCGGGGCGCACCGCCCCTTCAACAGAGCCGAGCACCCCGTCTACCAAACCCCCCCAACCTCCTGTTGGCACTGCCGTAACTCTAAACTAGCAGCTTACAATGCAGGTGCACTAGCTAAAAAGAAAAGGCAGCCTCTTCCCTCATGCTGAACCCTCATGCTGACCCCCCCAACCAACTCATAAACTGTCAGTACAAACAGCACACTGCTGAGATGTGTCTGTCTCTCTCCTTTGCCCTGCTCCAAAACTGTAAAGCTGTTGATATAAACATAAACAGAGCAATGAGCATCTCAGGATGTGTCTCTGCCCCCCCACCCCCCTCCCCTCCCCACCCCGCCCCAGACAAAAATCAAGGACGAGATGAGCGCCCTGCCATGGTAAGTTATCTAGGGGAAACACTGGTATGGCAAGCCAAGTGGCCCATTAATAGATACTTTTACCACATATCTAACAGTAATGGGCCACTTGGCTTGCCATATCGATGAAGACATTTCATCCCCGCGGGACATGCCGTTCGCGTTGGGCAGGAGTGTGTACGAGCTGGTGCGTCTGCTGCAGCTGTAATATCCACTCCACAGACTGGGCAACGTCTCCTCTCATTGTATATTTAATAAATAATCAAAATAAAAATGCGCGATGACTTTGGACATTTAGGGGTGGAGATTTGAGTTGCTGGATCCAAGCAAACAGTTGCTGGAACACACCTGGTCAAAATAAGAGAGCTCCCGGATCTTGTTCCGGCAGGATCTGATTCAAATAAAGCACTGATCTGAACAGTGAATGTAGTTTTCAAGTTGAGTGGATTTTTTTGTAATGTAAGTAAACCTTAATGTTTTTGTTGTAAGATATTCAAGTGTGTAGGAATTACACTGTGGAGAAGGACAGAGGTAGTTTATTTTTTTCTTGTCCGAAGCAGCGCAGAGTAACGTATCCTAGCGAGTCGAGGGAGCGATTTTATCCACCATCAGGTGCAATGGTGGATTATATTAGCTGCGGAGGCTGAAGCCAAATGACAGGAACCAACAAACAGCTGGAACAGAGACATTTTGCACTGCTGGGGTTCAGTCCAAATCTGACGTTAGATAAGGTCAAAGGTCCTGAACAATTAGCAATAACCAAATCTTTTTTATTAAACGTGTTTAGAATCAAAAGAAATGACATTTGCCTTCAACTGTTTGTTTATTGAAAGTAAACTGCTCTAACTTTTATTGTTCTCAACACATCCTCTGAGCATCACACTGTGTGCAACATCATCACTTAGACTTTGGCATCAACTGTTAGCCTCAACATTTTGTCTGTTAGCAAAATAACTGGTTAGGAGACTTATCCAAACCACTGATCATTTCTCGTCATCAGACGATCTGAGTTTGAAACTCTGGAGTGAAAGGAGGCAGCTTTTACTTTAGTCTATTTTGGGGGGAACTAAACCACAACAATGTGAATCAACATGAGTGTTTCCTCTACTGTTATCTAAGGTGGGCACCCCGCCCTGTCAACAGAACCAAGTGCCCCGCCTGCCAAATCCCCCACCTCCCACTCTGCTCCACCACTTCCGGACAGGAAGCGAAGATTGTAGCAGCTCAGCTCAGACTCCAAACTGCACAAAATACAAGTGTAGCACTCCGCTATACGCCCGCTTATTAATGCCGGCACTAACGTAGCACTTTGTATCCAACGCCAAACTACCACCCCCACTCATTTAGTGTGTCTGAAGAGTCATGCAGCTGAATGTCAGAGTGCATGTACACATTGACAAACATGCCCACGAAATTCTGACCAATCACACAATACTTGGTGCGTATGCCTGTGAGAAAACCTTTGGCCCAGGCCTTGTGTTGACAATGGGTGGGTGAAGCTGCTTTGTGAACAAAATGACACAATTTTTGTCACGCAGCTGTAACAATGAGAGTTGATTTCAGCACTTTGAATGGAGTATGTTGGGCCCTTAACGTAGCGCTAAGCTAGAGTGCAATACAGATGTAGCGCTAAGCTAGAGTGTAATACAGATGTAGCGCTAAGCTAGAGTGCAATACAGATGTAGCGCTAAGCTAGAGTGTAATA